ATTCACTATGAATGCCGACTCATCCGACTCGACATCACTGCTGTCACTACTACTCGTGGCTTCAAAGCTGTCGTCCGACTCATATCGCGTCGACTTTCGCTTGGATTGTGACCTCTGGAGGGATGGGACCATCACTTCGTCGTCCAAATCCTCTCTTTGTCTGTAAATCTGTTGTATCTTTCGTTTGGCGTTCAGACAGAACTCGATGTCGTATTGCAAGTGATTGATGAGCGACAGGACCCGCTGGAAGAGCTCTGGTTTGCGGCCAACGAATGGCAACTGAAATGAACGCAAAACGCTCTGAAGGTCTTCCACTCGAAAGGTCTCTAATATATCCTGAAGTATAGATACAACAAGCCATGAGTGGATCCATGAGGTGATCCATGAGGTGATCGCACGCGAGTGAGACCATCAATGGCCACACCATCGCACACAACAACAACACATACCTTAACCTTGTGGTCGTCCGGGAGATCAGCCATTCATTCAGTCCCGCATTGTCTTCATTTGGTCACTGATTCGGTGGACAACTAAATGGCATTCAAATCAACGCATACTTCAAACGACCGCTAAATACAGTCAACGAGTAATTCAAGTGTCGATTGCTTTCCACTCATTGATCGCAGCATTCACTCAATGAATGAATGTTTCACTCATTTCTCAATGTTTTCAATGTTTTGTCTGCTTTTCAGTACAACTAGTGTTAGAAATAGGGGTTTGTATTGCACTCTCATAGCAGTGCACTAATGTCACCAAAAATAGCTATTTTACGCTTACTTTAGGCCTCATAAAAGTCTATTAAGTTTTCCAAATGCTATGAAATTAATTAATTAATTACGCAATTAATTAGCAATTTATAAACCATTATATATGCCATCAATGTCTAAGTTTCGTCACTAAAAAATCATTTTCAATACTTTCAAACACTAGTCTTTCATATACGTGCAATCTTTCGCACATTCAGTACTATTTCATATGGAAATTATAATACCTACTAATATAATACATCATATACAATAGTACAAATTACTCTAATAATTTCATCATTTTTAATTATCTCATTAATAATTAGATCATTTGAATCATTTTTGAAGTTTTTGACTGCTTTTCAAATTAATCACAGATTCAAGACATATACCGTGTTTTAAAATGTTCCCTAAAATGTGAAATAAAATTGAATCAATCGCTCGATTGGTCGCCAAATGTGTGGCACCGACTTTGGGGGCGAGTGTTTGGGGGCTAAAAGTGGTGTGAATTGTGACGTAATTGTTGCGAGAAATGCGCCAAAACTACGGACAAGGGCTGAGTGTTTGAGCGCTTTATTGTGGCTTTCATTCACTCATTGAGTGCTAAACACGCGTTGCGTTCAGTCTAGCAGTGAGTCTATCGGCCGTCAGATAAGCCGTTGCTTTCGTTTTACACATTATTCACGCAATTAATGTAAGTATGGATCACATGATCACCGAAACCCTGTCATCCGCGGTGTGACAAGACGTATGATAATACACGCCATGTCTCTAACGATACTGACGTTGCAGTGATCAGCGCCGGCATCATAAACATGTCAACGGGAACGCCAGACGGGGGAGCGAAGGGCGAGGGGGGCGACGCCTCCGAGTATATAAAGCTGAAGGTCGTGGGCCAGGACTCCAATGAGATCCACTTCCGCGTCAAGATGACCACTCAGTTCGGTAAACTCAAGAAGTCCTACAGTGAACGGGTGGGCGTACAGGTGGGGTCTCTCCGGTTCCTGTTTGACGGCCGTCGCATCAACGACACGGACACACCGAAGCTCCTGGAGATGGAGAACGACGACGTGATCGAGGTTTACCAGGAACAGAGTGGCGGTCATCTTGGTCAGCACGTGGTGGCCCGAGCGTGAAGTCGTGTGTCTGTGACGCCATACCAATGGTTTAGTTTGCGTTCAATTATAGACACAAATTTGCGTTTGATTTGAATGAATGATAATTTTTTTTATTTGATTATTATTTTCATTGATTTGTATTAATATTAAATTATTTGTCAATTGTTTTTCTCGAAGGCATTGAAATTTAGTTTGTAATTCAGATAATTATCGTTTGCTTTCCTGTTGTAAATCAAACTCAAAATATATTCATTACTTTACTTTTCGGTGTCTTTAAGATGTGATCATTTTTGAGGACATTTTTTTTCTCTCGCATTCATTCCTCTGTCGATAAACTCTAAACCGAAAGTCTATTCTTACAGTGAATTTCATTTTTTCAATATTTCTGTTTCCCTTTAAATCATAAGTCGTTTTTGTTTTGTCAGTTAATTAGTGATTCATTTGTAAAACAATTATAAGGAATAAAAGAAATTTTTTAAAAATTATTACAAATTGTGTTTTATTATGGCTTTGGTCTCAAGAATGCTGATTAGAATCACCACTGTTTTCATGATTGTCTCGAGTTTGGTGACCACCAGTGCTCTCTGGGTTGCCATTGGGCTCACGATTGTCTTCAGCTAACGGCTGATCTTCGCCACGAATGGGACCGTTGTTTGGCTCTTCTCGTGGTTCACCAGTTGGCTGCTGTGCCTGTCGTTCCCTCCAATTCATATACTGTTGAGTCAGGTATGAGATCAGAAAGACCATAGCCATCAACACCAGAGCCTTTCCAACGCCGAGACGATAACCACTCTATAAGTGATAATAGAAAACAAGAGTTAGAAATGAGATATCTTTGACCAGAACTGTGTCTACGAAGACAAGTGTAGTACTCGACGAATGCATACCTTTTCATATCTGTATTGAAGACTCAGAAAAGCTCTGGTTTTGCCCCAACTGTTGAACAATATCTGCCAGAAATGGATTTCATGTAATTCCCAAATGGATTGCGAGACCATATACTGGACGTGCAGGGGATACGTCGGATCAAAGAGTAGAGACATTCTTCTGGAGTTGTTCTCGAATTCAATTTGAAACGAATTGACACTAAATTAAGATTTTAATGCTTTCAAAACTTACTGATTGTTGAAAACTAAGGTATTGTTGAATTTGTATCTGAAATACTGTTTTTAAAACTCCATGGCTTTTACACTTGTTTTTCAGTAAATGCAATAAATGGTACGGTTTATCAAATTGAAATATAATTCATATCATTAAACCTTATGATAGTCTCGGCTGATAAAAATCATAATCCGTTGCAAACCCTTAATTCATAATCTTTTCAGCGAAATATGTTTATTAATAATAAAAATACTGTCAGTATTTCAATTTGAAAAACAATTTATAAAATTCTGCAAAGAATTAATTGATAACAAAAACGATATCATGTTTTGGTGCAAATGTATGGAAGGTTGGAAGTCGAAGAATAGTTCAGTTGCTCTAAAAGCAATTTCTCGGGAATTTGAACACCAGATGCTTTGACAATACAATTGACTGAATCAAGTACTTCTCGACTTTCGGGACTCAATATATAGAAACACTTCTTTTGGAAATCGATTCCTCGAATGACAGCCGCACCCAAACACGTGTTGCCATCGATTGACTTGACAATCTTGAGGCCATTGTTGAGGAAATATCGCGGCCTCTGACCATCAAAGCGACACAATTGAATCCAACAGCAGTTGAGTACATCCAGAGATAGTTGTCCATTGAAATGGTAGTCCGACATAATGTGTACTAACACTCGTGACCACAAAAGTCTGTTCAACACAAACAATGCATTTACGGTAATACAGAATTCAAAACTATTCAAACATTAATCTAACAAAATGTGAATCAAATATATGATAATTACTTGTAAGGAGTCATCGCGAAGAATGGTTTGAAAGCAATGTCTGGCATTTGGGACATATATGACAATTGCTGTAAATCTCTAGTGGTTTGCGATTTCTTAGACCTCTTATTGTTTGATTCAATGATCGATAGTTTATATTTGAGGCTTCGAGTCCTATCAGATCCGGAATATCTATATCCGTTGAATCTCTTGACCGATTCCGGTGTCAAATCAAAGCCAATATTTACGGATTGATCGGCAGTTGAGTTCATTTGTATGACATGAGTCGGAAGCGCTATTTTGATGGTATCTGTGAGAAGTGCTAAACCGAGGTCTCGAGTCCATCCCATTGTGTTCACAAATAGGGGTCCTTTTGATTGCAAATCCTTTTGATAAAAGTTCACTAAATTATAGACACTTGAGATGTAAAGGTTTGCCGCTTTGCTTGGAGTGGTTGCGCCCACTGAACAGGCCATCAATGGCTTGTGTTTAATGACATTCATAGCGGTTGAGCAAAGGACTGGACTCTGGATTCGAGTTAAGCCTAATTGTGCGGAAGTGCTGAACTCAGACTGACCCGGATCACAGTCCAGATACATGCACTCCGTGTCTCTTTTATTAAGATATCTATTAATCAAATGTCTAATAAGACTCGATTTTCCCACATTTGTTCCGCCGGTGACTACAATCACATCGTTAGCGCCAAACTGGAGGTCATCGAAGAGTTTATCCCAAACTTTAATACTTTCAAAACCATTGGTTCCAACACTTCTCATGTCAAACCACGTCGACTCTGACTTCATACTCAATGGCTTAAAGTTATCGACAGTTTCGAGGTATAGTAATGAAGACAAACACAACTTCTCCACTAAAATCACACATAAATTGTCTTTCAATTGACTCATCACTGCCTCCGAGTCTTTCGCTCCCAATGTCTCCACTTTTGTCATCAAATCATTGATTGTCTGAGCATTGTGTCCATTGTTTTGGCACTTAATCGTCACTTTATGGCCGAAGACTGCCATCATCTCAACGGATTTATCTGTGGTGAGAGTGAATCCATTCATATGGACATCAAAATTATGTGATAATAGTGTGAACCGAACGCATCCACAGCCCAACTCGTACTCCAAGTCTTCATTTGCCACCAAAACTAAAGCCATTTTGTCGTTCACTTCAACCACTTTAACGCCGCTATCTTTGGACACATTCCTCTGGTTAGTCGCCATTTGTTGGTCACAATTATCATCGCTGGAGTCCATGTGATTGAGCGACAAGTTCTTGAGCCCATCCTCAGCCTTGTTATCCATAAAACCATTAAACGAGAGGTAATTGTGGTTCAGTTGAGATGAGTTGTTGGCCAAGAGTTTGCTGCTGTGGACGGCTTTGACGGCGAACCAGAGGGACGAATACTTGCGACCATCGATGTGTCCGGTGATAGTCTTGGGCTTAGGTCTCAATCGTGGCATTAATTGGTGGACTGATGGGTGATATAAAGGGAGTGATTGTGGACTCAAAAGCCGTCTATAAGTCATTCATTCATTCACTTCGACAACACATTTAAGTCACGCGTTGTTTTCATTCATAACTCCTCCCATTCAATATTCTGTTAGATATAAAAGGGCACACATTTTCGATATTATTTTAGGTTGCACTGCATATTCGTATATTGCGCGATATTTGGTACCTTTAAATACTTATTTAAAACCAAAAACATCTGTTGCTTACATATGATTTGGCGCTAAACTTGAAATCATGTTAATTTCAATTGAAATTCAATATTAATTTTTGTTTTTATTAATTCATTTAAACACTTATTGAATCTGTTTTTAATTAAATGGTTTTGAGATCACAAATGATACATATTTTTCATCACATTTTTATTACAGATATTTAAATTTAAATGTCAGTCAAGTATTGCAATCGAGGCATATATTTATTGAATTAAGAAAAATAGCAATTTATAATTAAGTTAATTGTTCAGTTATTAAACGCTAAACACCATACTATTAACAGGTTTAATAGGGTTGAAGCCGTTTTAGAAACAAATACTTAATGCAATAATACTTAATGCAATCAAACCTTTCAATTATACCGTATTTAGCATTAAATGACTAAAACATTAACTCAATTGTGAGGAAAACTAAATGAAAAATGTTTACAAAATCTAAAATAATTATTTCAAAGCGAGTCGTGTATTATGGGAACAGTGTCTGCATTAGTGTCCAACCAATGGATCACTTGCTGGACGTGTATTTGGTGACAGCTTTGGTGCCTTCGCTGACGGCATGTTTGGCGAGCTCTCCGGGCAGTAGGAGTCGGACAGCCGTCTGCACCTCCCGTGACGTGATGGTCGACCGCTTGTTATAATGCGCCAAACGGGAGGCCTCGGCGGCGATGCGCTCGAAGATGTCGTTCACAAACGAATTCATTATAGACATGGCTTTCGATGAGATACCGGTGTCCGGGTGGACCTGTTTGAGCACCTGTTGGGTGGACACAACAGATCAGTCAGTCATCACGAGCGGTGGCCAATCTCACCAAATGGTGGGCCAATCACTTACTTTGTAGATATAGATGGAGAAGGACTCCTTCCTCCGCTTATGGCGTCTGCCCTTCTTGTCGGAGGCGCGCACAGCCTTCTGAGCCTTACCGGCCTTCTTGACCGCCTTTCCAGCGCTCGGTTGCGGACCCATTGCGGTGATAGTCTTGTCTTCAGCGGCGCTTAAATGCGGACTATATTTGCGACACAAATGTGCGTCAAATGAGTGATACGTTTGCGATGCGAGCGACGACTGAACGCAGGCATAGGTTTCGGTCGCCTTTTATACGACACTCACAGACAGTCTGGCGTTCAGTAAATACGTGCCAATCATTCAAACACTCAGTGAACTGATCAGTGTTTTCTCAACTTTTATTCAATCATTTCAATTGAAATGCATTCACTTTTCCATTCAATAGTCAATTCATTTGTCGTTTTTAATTCATTTTATTTGATAATCCGTTCAACTCTTATACAAAAATAAAAGTGAAGAAAAATAGTTAAAATAAGAGTAAATGTGGATTAAAATTAACACTAAATAAGGTTCAAGGTATAATACCTTTTGCTAAAGTTTATTGAATTTTATATTAATATATTAAAAGTTGTATTATAATAAAATAAAATAGAAATATTAATAAAATTATTTAATTAAACATAATATAGGATTTGACAGAATAATTGAAAACTTATGACTAAATTAATAGTTAGACTCAATGGTTAGGATTAGAGTTATATTGGGATGTGTTTTAAGGCCAAACACTTATACTCCCGGTCCTCCTGCCATCCAATCTGATTGAGTCGATCCGAAAACTCAATGAAAAGTCAGTCGTTTAATACGATTGCATTAAATACTAATTAAAGTAATTAATTCATTCATTGACTGAACCCTTATCGACAACAAGGGAGGTTTCAATCACCTCCCGTCCCTCCCAAACGTATTCGTTATATTTTATTGTACTTTCAAAGTTTGGGATCAAATGTCTGATCTGATCGAAAAACTTTGAGCTTCGGATCTCATTGTAGTTATTAAAAGGTTTCCTGTTATCGATGGCCATCGATCTCGTGGTTTAGGGGTCTTTGATGTCTGCGTGTCTGGAGTTGAGGTCAAATATCTCCATCAATAGGCTTCCGATTCCGGTCTCTTCGATCTGACTCGTGTTCACATCGAAATAGGCTTTGATGTGAACTTCGCTCACAGTTGTGGTGATCTTCAACTGGTCCATCAGTTTATGGAAAGTACTCTCAGCTAAGGTCTCGTCATAAATGGTCTGCAGATATCTCTTCAATAGATTTATATAACACTGTTGTTCAGAGCTATAGAACGGAAAGAATATTCATTAGTTTGATAGCAATTCTTGACAGATATGGCTATTTTGAAGAGTGGATTAAGTATTGGGTCCACAAATCTAGTGATAAATTGAAAGACAAATGATTACCGAATGGCGTCGACGTCCTCCAGATTGGGTCTGTCGGCTGAGAAGATGCAGATTGCGATCAAACAGGACATGACGTTATCGTCAAATCTCCACTCGGGCTCGAAGGACAGGGCGTACTTCCGGTGCGCTTCGTATACCTTTTGGTTGACCTGTTTTAGGACTTCCATCTTCAGCGAGAACTTGCAGTTTCGCTCCAAATCCTAAACAGTTATCAAATATGTTAATGACCTCAAAGACTAGTAATTACCACCAGAATTACCATCGATTCCCAGCACTCCTTCTCCAGATTGATGGTCATAATGGACCTCAAGATGAGTGTCTCCATACACCCGCCCTTCACGAGTGCGATCTGATCCGATTGACTCAGATTTTGAAAAGCGGTCAACTTTTTGCACATTTTGATTAACATAAATGTGATAATTTCGGTGATTTTGAGCACATCTATGAAGCGTCCACTACAGGGCAGCTCATGGATGGTCTCCGCCTGCATGAGCTGTATGTTTGACGTCAAGTGCTTCAACTTATGTCTCTCTTTGGGACTCAACTGTTCCCGAGTAGTGCCGGCTCTGCACAGAAGGGCGTATTTTGTCGGATAATAATTGCTTTCTCTGCAGACCTTTACTTTACTCAACAGTTTTGTAATCGATTCCATACCCGCTGCCGAAGACACTGTGTTCTGTTCGCCATTCCTTTCCTCTGGCTTTTCATTCTTTGAAAATATCTCTTCCTTTGAATATCTAAACGAAAGTTTGGGTTTTTCTTCGATACCAAAGACATCGGAACTGACTATCGTTCCGATGGGAAGGTCCGGACTATTTGGACCTTTAGTTGCAATACATGGCGAACACGGAGACAATGAAGGGGATGGAAGGGGACTCTCATCTGACAACTGATCCGTTTGATCCATAATAGGATAGGCCTCGCCATCATCTCTCATCATTTGGTCGAATTGATCGCTAATATGTTGATCAAAGATGGTGTCACTCTTTCGCGAATGTCTCGACCTCTTCTTCTCAATGATCTTCACTTTTCTGGCGTGTCTTTGCTCTTCATTCATAATATACTCCTTCTTCATACCGGCGCCAAAGCACTTCCTCAGCCGACACGAGGCGCAAAATCTTCGCGACACCACATCAATGGTGCAGTTGTTTTGGAAATAGCATTTCAAACCCTTTATCGCATAAAATGGCAAACATTTATAATACGTGTTATCATCGAAAGTAATTCACAAATAAGACTAACCTTTTGTTTGAAGGCATTGCGTCTGAAGAACTCCTTACAAGAGGCACAAGTGATGGCATCGAAGTTACAGCCGCGGGCTTTGTCACCGCAAACCTCGCACAAGCTTTTCGACTCATTTCTCAAGTGGTTGTCTCTAATGAAGTTCATTATGGAAAATGGCTTTTACTGTTTGATAAGGAGATAATGGCTTATATTTTATAACTGGTATATTCAGTGAAACACAATTCCTGTTCAAAAGTTTTTAGTGAATCAATGGAAATAAACTCTATATATGAACACGAATGGAGTGTGTGGTCGACATATGTTTGATTCACATAATCAGGCACACAATTGGTCGTGTCACTGGCTAAAAGTTGCAAAATATCTTCACTAAACATGTAATCCCATTAAAAACTCCTTCAATTCACTCGCACTCGCACTTCAACTCCTATTTTTATCACTCAATTCTCGTTTTGTATTAATATTTACGGACTGCGATAACAATGCCTTTAAACGATTGATCAAATGTCATAATATTATTCTGTTATCTAATCACTATTTTTAAATATAGTTAATCTCCAAGTGCTTCACGGTATTTATTATTATATATTATAGGCATTCAATTGAATTTTTCTTATGTAACTGCTCTCTATCCAATTGTTTCCAACCATAAACTTATAAACTATTATTATAATTACTTAATTCTACCGGTATATATCCTATAAAGACAACTTACAAATATGCTACAAAATATGAAAAAAGTATTATTTCTATAAATGTATTATATATGACCAATATTTAACTCAAAGACAATTATACAATAAAGATAACAACCTTTGAGGCCTTATGAAGAACCTAAAGTGTACTGATTCTACACTTTGATTCGAGAATATTAATACTAATATTGATAATATCAAAATTCTAAATTTTTATGAATACCTATTGATAATTAATAAATGTATCAAGTTAATTGACATTCTTTTGATTGCCAATTTTTATTGCTGTATAGAATTTAGTAATTAAATTTTAAGCAATTATCAATTTAATTTTCTTGTTTTTGTGGGGAATTCTAAGTGAACATACTTTTATTTACTTAAATGTATTTATTAATTATAAATAAATGTTTATTGTTTACTGAGAATAATATTATTTTAATGATTAATTAATCTTTTTAAACTTTATATCTTATAATTAAGACAAAGAGATTGAGACCATGAGGAGTTCAGATTCAGTGCTTGCAATCGATTATAAATATTACATTACATTTTTGCATTGCATTTTAAAATTATCATATTAGCTATTAAATAATATTAACTATTTATCTATAAGCATAAATTATAAATTTAAATGTATAAGTGTTATTCTGTGATAAAAAATCACATATTCCTAGAAATGACGAATTCTTTGGTCTTTTATAGCAACTTATTTGATAATCAAGTTCTAACCGGTAATCAAAATCAATATCACAATTCCTACAGTAACTGCTTCTCATAAATAATGAAAAACAATTTATTGGTTGTCATCCATCACAAATAATTAATATTTTTATCAGTTATTAAATAATTTTATTAATATTTCTATTTTATTTTATTATAATACAACTTTTAATATATTAATATAAAATTCAATAAACTTTAGCAAAAGGTATTATACCTTGAACCTTATTTAGTGTTAATTTTAACTCACATTTACTCTTATTTTAACTATTTTTCTTCGCTTTTACTTTTGTATAAGAGTTGAACGGATTATCAAATAAAATGAATTAAAAATGACAAATGAATTGACTATTGAATGGAAAAGTGATTGCATTTTAATTGAAATGATTGAAAAAAGTTTCAAAAACACTGATCAGTTCACTGAGTGTTTGAATGATTGGCACGTATTTACTGAACGCCAGACTGTCTGCGAGTGTCGTATAAAAGGCGACCGAAACCTATGCCTGCGTTCAGTCGTCGCTCACATCGCAAACATATCACTCATTTGACGCACATTTGTGTCGCAAATATAGTCCGCATTTAAGCGCCGCTGAAGACAAGACTATCACCGCAATGGGTCCGCAACCGAGCGCTGGAAAGGCGGTCAAGAAGGCCGGTAAGG